ACAATCCCCCAAACAAACTCGACAATCAGATTTGAGCTGACCAAAGGAAGCAGATTTTTTAAAATATATCGTCTTGGCTAAAAGCCTCAATGACGTAGCATCTTAAGGCTTTTTACGAGTTTTGATCCACAGCGCTGCATCTTATGCGACGTTTACAATCAGTACCATTGCATACCATACAAAATAAAGTAAAAATCGTGCACCACTTTAAATCTGACATATGATTTTCCCATGATTTGGTTATTGTGACGTAAGGCGCATGATCCACGGATCCTTTTGCTTAAGGGAATCTCTTTACACTCTCTGTTGCCCATAGTCTACTTAGTCTTACTTTAGCATTAGTTTCGTTGGCTGGAAAATCCAGATATTATTCGGTGGAGTTTGACCTGTAAAGGACGGTAATTTCACAACACACCTCTATTTCTGCTACGCGACAGTCCAAAATCAATCGTAAAAACAATCGTGAAACAAAAAATAGTGAAAAATAAAACCGGGCTGCAGTTTTACTAAATAATTAACTGAAGCTTATTTCTTAAGAACGAATTTTGCCAACTTTTCACGAAACAAGTTTTGTTCTTAAGCCGACTTTACAAGAGCTGATGCTTTTCTTTTAATAAAACAAACTTTTGAAACTGTTAAGTTTTCTGATGTTAACAAAAGTTCGAGATTGTTCTTTGGAGCTTTTCACTGTTTCCTTAATTATTGTTAAAGAACTGTGAAAGTTTATGTTCAGCACGTCTCAAGTGATCTTTTTCTACGAAAGTAAGGAAACACAACCACCTGTCGTAAACTTCCATCGCTTGGAAAAAGGTAAAACTGATAATGATTTTCAAGGACATTATGCTGACAAAAGATGACTAAACAGCTTTAGATGTTGCACTACAAATCATTTTGGCAAAACGCAAAACTTACGTCTATTATGTGCAATGAAGAGGAACAAATCATCGTTACCTGAATTCGAATATTGGCTGGGTGAAATAAGCAAAAATCTGTGGTGGTAAATGCTTGCTTCACCAAGTGAAGAAGAAAAATGTCATCCTCCGATGAGGTATGACACCATCTTGCGCTGCTCGAGGTAGCCAGTGCTTGGAGGTTGTGATTCGTCAAAAAAAGATCGCTTTGGACTTTCACAAACAGTGCTACCAGTGCGGAGCACACTGGCGAAAAAGCTGTGGCTCTGACTAGAATGCCACTGAACCAATGCAATATGGCTCAGGAATGAAGACAAATCTCCACAAGCGCTAATGATGACAACATATTGTCCTGTGGAACGATAGTTAAGAAAACATAGATATGCGGAAGAATGTACGTTTAATGAGGCGTTGTACTTAGCATACCTACAGTTTCCTCTTCCGTACTAGTCTTACTTTAGCATTAGTTTCGTTGGCTGGAAAATCCAGATATTATTCGGTGGAGTTTGACCTGTAAAGGACGGTAATTTCACAACACACCTCTATTTCTGCTACGCGACAGTCCAAAATCAATCGTAAAAACAATCGTGAAACAAAAAATAGTGAAAAATAAAACCGGGCTGCAGTTTTACTAAATAATTAACTGAAGCTTATTTCTTAAGAACGAATTTTGCCAACTTTTCACGAAACAAGTTTTGTTCTTAAGCCGACTTTACAAGAGCTGATGCTTTTCTTTTAATAAAACAAACTTTTGAAACTGTTAAGTTTTCTGATGTTAACAAAAGTTCGAGATTGTTCTTTGGAGCTTTTCACTGTTTCCTTAATTATTGTTAAAGAACTGTGAAAGTTTATGTTCAGCACGTCTCAAGTGATCTTTTTCTACGAAAGTAAGGAAACACAACCACCTGTCGTAAACTTCCATCGCTTGGAAAAAGGTAAAACTGATAATGATTTTCAAGGACATTATGCTGACAAAAGATGACTAAACAGCTTTAGATGTTGCACTACAAATCATTTTGGCAAAACGCAAAACTTACGTCTATTATGTGCAATGAAGAGGAACAAATCATCGTTACCTGAATTCGAATATTGGCTGGGTGAAATAAGCAAAAATCTGTGGTGGTAAATGCTTGCTTCACCAAGTGAAGAAGAAAAATGTCATCCTCCGATGAGGTATGACACCATCTTGCGCTGCTCGAGGTAGCCAGTGCTTGGAGGTTGTGATTCGTCAAAAAAAGATCGCTTTGGACTTTCACAAACAGTGCTACCAGTGCGGAGCACACTGGCGAAAAAGCTGTGGCTCTGACTAGAATGCCACTGAACCAATGCAATATGGCTCAGGAATGAAGACAAATCTCCACAAGCGCTAATGATGACAACATATTGTCCTGTGGAACGATAGTTAAGAAAACATAGATATGCGGAAGAATGTACGTTTAATGAGGCGTTGTACTTAGCATACCTACAGTTTCCTCTTCCGTACTGTAATTTGAGTATCGCAGTTTCACAGTTCTCCGATTTCCAAATTGTTCAAGACCTCCATGTTTTGATTCGGAGAGCATATGACACATTAATATCCAACCAATCTTGAAGTCTTCACATTTGTTCTTAAATTTCCGGCCGATTGGCGGTCTGAGAGACTGTTGAAACGCTTTCATTTTTTATCTAAATCCAAATAGTAATGACGCGATCGCTGTAATGTTTGTGGGAAACGAACGTACCATAAACATTTACTCCAACGCTAATCGAGAACAAATCCATGAGCCGTTGTTATTTTTAATCTCCACACACCCCATTTATTACGATAATCCTCCAGGGGAAACAACGAGCACCAAGCTATTCACAAGCAACAATTGTTCAGTACGTGTTCTTTGTCAACATGAATCCTGAATAGACGTGGCGTAACTATCCTTACCCCATACATGTCCCTGATACTTCTGCTTCTTGTCATTAGTTTTCATTTCATCATTGTCCTATTACTCGCACTTACTGATTGTGACGCGTAACACCAACGCATCCCACCTGTTGTGATTCCTGGTGAATCTTTCATGTTTGTAAGGCGTCTGCCAGTAGTGCAGCTCTTGTCGATTCAAAGTTTTTCATCAGGAAGTGATACAAGTTAATTATGGCGTCTTGTAGGAGTTAAGCATTTATTTGTTAGGTAAGTCAAAATTCCGAATACTAAAACCAGGTGTGCCTGCGCATGCCTAAAAATAGGAGGTGCAAACAGTGATAAGTGCATACTACAATCTTTACAAGATGCTTTAATATTTCAGTTTTTATCGCTCCTCATGGCCATAATGATGGTTTCCAACATTGATCCATTTGCCATACAGCAGAGAATTTATCAAACACGCCAAATGAGATGGGATTATTCTAGAATCCGCTCAAATACATCAACCTTTAGCTTTCCCATCTCTTTCTTAGGATTCTATTAAACCGGCAAATTTAAGTCTTTGTTGTCGAAGGTTCGAAAACATTCTTCAAAACTTTTGTGACTCTGTGCTTATATTGCCTTTGACAGAAACTCATTGTGCACACAATCAAATTTCTCGTGGGTCTTTTTTGAAACTTGAATCCCCGTGGATGCCACAAGATGTGTCCAAGAGCTTGATTTGTTCTTTGTTTTATTTTCGAGTATCATGCATTTCTTCGGTGCATTTCTAAACTCGATTTTCACTTTTCTTCAACCAGTATACATAGCTCCTGTTGCTTCCTTTGCATCAAGTTTAATTAATTAAATTAAACTGAATTATTAAATTATTAATTTTCCTAAGCAACCCTTAGCACCCTTGCGATCTCATACTGCGGGTGTGAGAGCAAATATTATCACACTAAAGGCGAAGGACTGACTTATGTATCGCATGAAGTTTCAGTTTTTCTGAGCCAGCTTGTTAGAACAAAACCGATTTTATTCGTCACAAGCATTTACGTCAAAGTTTGCAAGTAAATTTAGTTTTTTTTTCCGGATGTTGAGCTATACGGATGCTCGTTGGGTTTGTCTTCTATAATCGGAATATCAACAACAATTTTAACTGTCTGAGGCATTGGTCTGCTTCGTCTGTTGTCTTTACGGATGACAGCACTATATTTCACTTGGAATTTTTTTGTTTTCAACTTGATGCCACTCTATCTGTGCTCCAGTAATACGTTGAACCCTTCAGGCCATCAATATTCATAAATGGCAACGTTCAGTTCGTTTAAAGCTGTTCTTTGACTAATCCTTGCTTGTAAATACTGGTAGCTATCGTCCCCTATTTTTATTCGTCCACTTTCGTTTGACTTTCCTCCATAAACAACGTCTTCTGATCCACCATAACCTAATTTTCCGCCATTCCTTTTTTCAGGAGACCTCCCAACCTTAAGCGTTCCTCAGTCAAGTTCTAACTTGACGTCTCTGAAGTTGGCTTGGGGTTTGGTTTGTCTACTTTTCTGTCCATAACAGTCTTACGCGACTCGTTGTCAAAATTATCGACAAACTGCAAACCCTGTGGGCGTCAATATTCGACGTCACCTGTCTCTGCCCGGAAGTAGTTCTCCAAGGTTATCCTTGGGATCATAGCTCGTTACAACTGAAAATTCCTAGGAAATTAGTGGCTAGAACTGCCCACCATTACCCTTGTTTTTGAACCCTACAAGTTTGGCTGTCCGCTTATGGAATTTTTGCGCGACTGCGACCGAAATTCCAGAGCTTGTGCACAATTTACATTGGTTTTATTGATTCTAAAGACTGCTCTTGCGTATAGTGTATTGGATAGCAACGTGAAACTTGAAAAATTGTTTCATTCAGCATCAACTCGAAAGGGTATCACAGGCTTGCGTACTATTGTTCCTCAGTATATATGAAAATACCTGTTGTTACGTGTATTTTTAAGGCCCAACATATAAAGCTGTTGCCTCCAAGGTCTACATTTGTGCTTCAACCAATCCGCTTGTCCGTACCTGCTCGAACCCGATTGGTTCGCTTTCAGTTAAATCTGCTACGTCGCCCGATTCAATATATTGTTTCACAGGATTACAGCCACTCATTCTCTATGTGCCTCGCCAAAGGTGACTGCTGAAACTCCGTCGTAAACAAAGGTCTTGAAAATGTTATACAAAAATCAGAGTTCAGTAACCAGGAATATAACCTTTGTTAATCAGGATGACATGAGGAAAATGGTGAGTACTTTATTCACTTGGCGGTTGGAAAGTTTGATGTTTACGTTGGCACAGTAAGTCACGGGTACGGTCCTTCTTATGGGCAATCTTTGTGCTAGGTACCCAATTTGTGATATCCTGATAGGCACGGCATACTGCCTACATTTAAGTCACTCACATGCGTAATGTTTGCAAACCCACATCGTTACGATATAAGAGGTCCCTCTTGCTTACTTGGAGCCACAAACTTGAAAATGTTTCTGTCCGAAGTCACTGTTTTCATGAGAAGTTATCACAATATGTGCGTGCATCTTTTATTTTTATGGCTCCAATTAACCTGATTAATTAGGTACACAATAAATCCGCACTCGCAACCAGCTTCAGTTTAAAGAAGAACCTGATCGAACCCTGCTGTCGAAACTGCCAGCACTAAACTTTTGGCTCCTAAGACAAATGCAAAATTGCTATTGAAATGATGTAGTCCACCGCCTTTGAAAACAGTTATTTGTGTTCAATATTTCTCAACAGCATTTCAATAAGTTATAGCACAATAATTCTCAGTCCGAAACTGCCCGCCGAAATTATCTATATATAATTTGGAACAGAAATCTATTCCTTTTGGACCATGACTCTTTCAGCTGGATGGATGAGGATGGCACTGAGCGTTCAAATGTCTAATGCTAAAATATTCTTTTATAAAAAAATATGATACGTAATTTGTACTACTACAAACTAACAATCATTTATGATAACATTTGGATTACCGGCTACTTATTTTGCTCACTCAAGGATGGATTAGTCCCCGAATTTTGTTTTGTACGTGCAAATAATAAATCATTTAAAGAACGCCTCTAGTACTCTGTCACTTCAGCTTGAACTCAAAGCGGTTTATTTGGATTAGAAATCGCTATTCAAATGATTTATTCGAACTCGTTATTAAAAAAACATTCCAATTGACTGCTTATCAGCATACGCGCTCAATTTTCATTTTTAATGCGACAGAAAATGCAAATATTTGTGAATCCTGAACCAAAAGACCAAAAGCCTTCTTTTGCTGCAAATTGATGTCTCGAGTGCGGTCTGAAATAAGGCATAAGTTGATGATCATCATAAGCAGGTGATTTAGCTGATGACCAGTCAACAATCTTGGTAACAAATTGTTAACAAGTTGTTGCTCCGCATTTCTGGTCACGTTCAATGCACCACACATCTCAGTTACATTTAGATTCTAGAAACGGCCTGAAAAATTATCAGTTGTTTAGAAACTTAAAGTAAGAATACAGATAACGGTTGTTGGTTTATTTGCGCGCAAATTTTCGGGGGAAAACGGTGTCACTTACTAAGAAATGTTTTCAGATTTGAAACTGGCAGTTTGTTTCAGTTAAAGATGCTCCCTTACGCAGTCGCAATTTTCAAACATCAGTTTGCTAGTTTAGTCAACGTAAAATACCTGGCCACTATTGCCGCATTACATTTTGGATTTTTAAAATATGTTATTAGTTTTGTAATATAGTGTGATGAGTAGGCCGGTGAAATTTCAAGAATTTGAAAAACTGTTGCTTAAGGTTTTTCCATCCCTACTATTTCTTGAAAGGAACAAATACCTTTGTTGGGATGAAACCGGTGTGTTTTGCAAGGAAATTTTCTATCCTAAACGCGGTTTACATGCTTTATTATGCGTTTATACACTAACAGTTGAGCAATTTAATGAGTTCAGTGAATCAGTCTCAAAGACTGTTTTGCTGCTACTAGTCGCATAATGATAAGGGAAGCTCATGCGGGGAATTGGTGTTAGAATTTGAGTTTTTCTCTCTGGTGGTTTCAAGCGCACCGTTGACTGTTAATTCTGCCGAACTAATTAGAAACCAGAAATCAATTGATGGGCGGAAAGATTATCTTGTGGTGTGTTTCGACTTATAGTGAACTATTTCTTAGTGTATATTGATTTGGCGCTTTTGGGTAACAACAATAGACAAACTATTTGCTGACGATGTTTGAAGGGACAGTATGGTATGTTCAAATGAGTTGAAATTTTTAGACACACAATATACAAATATATATGTCTATAAATTTCCATGGAAATGTTGCCGGACGCGGACTGAAATTTACCATTTTCGTTTGGATCATACTCAGTTACAATCGTAGACAACGTATGTGCTTGAGCCTCCTGTAATTTATTGGTTCCCTTGCTTACTGGAGAATTATGGGATTTTGATCTATTCGTGGTAATAAAGTTCACTGCTTTTTGATTATATGCCTGTGAGAAATATTCTTTAAGCAAACAAAAAACGATCAGCTGAGGTGCTCAAACTTTGTTGCTCCTTCCTGTTCGAAAGGTAGGACTTGCGAAAAAGTTGTCTTTACGCAGTGCATTTTGTTGAAGAGTATTATAAACAAGAGATTCACTTTAGTTTATCAGCAACATAAAAGTGATCCGCGTCTTAAAACTATCCAATTACATTTATCATAAAACGGAGTAATACATGAATTTAAGCTGATCTGTTTAGAACAAGATAAAACAACTGGCCAAAACGTGAGTTAAATGCATTGAACTGAGCAAAATTGTCAATTTTATTGGTACTTTGTTTGGTGGAACATAGATATTTACGTGGATGTCGTGTTGTTTATAGACAAATGTTGATTGAGCCAAATTGTACGAAGCGCTGAATTAACCACAGACTGATTTGGAATGCCAACTCAATCGGTGCTTTTTCCTACAGGACAGAACACAAGAAAGTCAAGTATACCGGAAAGAGACAACAATGACAAGTTTTTCCGTCTTATTCCTCAAATAACCAGCTTTGAAGTAGATATCTTTTTTGGTAAGTTACAGGGATTGGAAATGTTGCTTGACGAACACCGAGGACCTATTTCCTGTTATTGGGTTGCAAACCAAACAGCAGCCATTTGTTCCAATGACCGTTAAAACAGGAATCTGGTAACATAAAATGCATAATGATTTTCATTACCAGTTGCTAGCAAGCAAAGCAAGGTGCATGCCAAAAATAACCACTGCTAGACCAGTCTTCACTCAAATCTCCTAATTCAGAAAAACCAGGCTTTCCACAGGTAAATTATTATAATGACCATCAAACAATTTTTCAGTTTATTGTTTGGCATTCTTCAAATAACGCTGGCACCGCGTGCAAATAAGATGGTAACGCATGCGTGAGCGCTTCCCAGAAAGGCGTCACATTTTCTAGTATCGGAAATATACACTTTTCAGTTTGAACGTATTTTGGACTTGAGTTGCCATATTTAAAATTTGGACTTGCGCTTCGGGCCCCCGGGTTTGGATTCCTGCTTAGGTGTCTTCACATAACTTTCGCACCCTTTCTCCAAATTTCTGTACACAAAATTACATCAGTGCAAGAAGTAAACGATTGTTTACCTTATGTCTAGGTTGGAAGATATATAGTAATACCCCATGAAAGATAACCACGGTGATTTAACTGCTCATATCCTTTACAACTGTTTGATTGAGGGACAGAATAATGTTTTTTTCATTCGGCCTAAGGAATGAGACCAATACAAGTCGTTTGCCCTACTGTTTGATACATTATTGCTAGATGTGCCCGCAAAAATATCCCACTTTTGAATTAGTAAATCTTAAAAAAACATGTATATCTGTCCCTCTCTGATAGACATCAATCAAGTGCGATAACAGTACATATTTTCACAAAGAATTATTCAGTTGTACCAACAAGTTTTCTGTCACAAATGTTTATTTAGCACTGATTATTTTTATAGAAATCGACATCTTGTAAATCTTGCCAATTCTGTAATGCTCATCGCGCATCACGTTTGTCTTGAATCCTCTATTCTGTGCTCGATATTGAACAACGGCAAGTAACTAGATGCCCTTCGCGGTTTTTATTGGTATCTCTTTGAGTCAGTTGCCATTCTGCATCACATGTTTTACTTGATACCCTACCTCACCATTGAATCATGGAGTGGTTTTATTCAAAGTCACACCTGAGTGTCGTGTATGATCCTCCAAAGAGGAAAATATCCTCCTGACCATGTGAACGGCCTTATGCTTAAAAAATGGCACAACATGTGTTTTCATATCATTGTCAACAAGCGCATCGGCGAGATCAATGTGAATAAAATGTAAATTGAGCCTACATACGTAAAATACTGAACCCAAAGTTGGCATTCTTAGTCAAAATTTAAGCTTCAGCGCACTGAATTTAGAAAAGCACTTTACTCTTTGACAAAATGTGCTAATCGTTTGGCTGGTTCGCTCTTGTGTTTCCTTTCCATCTGCCTTTTTAATTTTGTTGAATTACGGAAATATCACATCCACCATTCACCTAAGCAAACGGTTTTTGTTCTTTGGCTAAGGACGGGTAGTCGTATGTGAATAAGGCCCATAAATGAGAAGTTGTTCCCTCAACTATGACCATGTAATCTGACACAAGAATTTTTGTAACAAATTAGTATCACTAACCTTTGGGATTTCCCAAAGAATGAATAGAATGAACATTTTAACGTGACCACATACCAACACATACATGACAAATACTGACTTACAGGGGTTCTGTTTCCGAATTGCTGCCGGAAATGTAACGCCAGTCACAGACGTGCAAAATGCTTTTGAAGTCCCGGCAAGCGTGGCATGTAGTTCTCACAGTTATCGAAACGTGTTGTATGCAATGGTAGTTTTCGAACTTCTTTCCAAGTCACTGATTTAGAGGACGATTCATTTTCCGGACAAACGTGTGAAAACTCATCTTCAGAACACACATGATCAGTGGTAATAACTCTTCATATATGAGCGCCCGAAAATCTGGTGGGTAACAGGTATCTTCTTTCTCAAAAATATTTTTGTTGTCCTCTGAAAAAGCAGTTTGCAACCCTTGATTTAAACCGACATTTTGCTGACAGATGTTTCATCCTTTACAATGAAAGGACTCAGGTACACTATGGGTTTTAGAGTTTGATTTTAGATCTAGAATGTGCCACTGTCCATAAAGTTACTCATTTTTATCTTTTGTTACAGTGCATTAAGAACCTTG